GTTAGAAAAGATTTCTATTTTAAATAAATGCTCTTCTTTTTAACTTTTTATTCATCAAAGAATCCTGAAAAAAAGTATCACAGGTTCCCAAAAAATATTAAGCAGCACAACAGTTTCCAGCACTGATAATAAATCAGCATATTAGAATGATTTCTGAAGGATCATGTGACACTGAAGACTGGCGTAATGATGCTGAAAATTCAGCTTTAATCACAGCAATACATTACATTTTAAAATATATTCAAATAGAAAACAGTTATTGTAATTTTAAATAACATTTCACAATATTACTGTTTTCACTGTATTTTTGATCAAAGAAATGAAGCCTTAGTGAGCAAAAGAGACTTAAAGTAGTTTTATTTGCAACTTTCTACTAGGTCTTTTTAAGCAACTAAGCAGTTTTTGTTTCTCTTTGGTCAGTTGTGACCACAAATAAAGCACATACTTACACAAACTAAAAATTAAAAATACATGCACTCAGTTTGATGAAAACTGGGATTAAACTGATTCATTCCAAATACAGAAAAAGACAGTGTCTTCCTGCAGTCTCAGAGTCCTTCCTCCCGTCGCGTGTTTAAGTGCCGTTCACGTGAGGAGGCGAAGATAAATGTTCCATTTTCTTTAATGACAGCATATTAAAAAAGAATTATCTGGACACGGCTTCATTTTCAAGCGGCTGGCAGAGGCCTTCAGGGCTCGGAAAGCCATTCGGAGCCTGCTACACTTGAAATAGAAGTGGGTTTTTAAATGTCACCTGTTTAACACAAATGACTTATTAAATGGACACACTAATCACAGGTTCAAGGTAGAGTGTTTCCCTCGAGGGACACAACAATGGGCAAAAATGTCATCCTGTAAAAGTCTCCGTACGCACGCCCTGCTTCAAATTAAATTCGGTTCGCAGAACTGAATGTGATGGAGAAATCCGAGGCGGCTTTAAACGGATGTAATGCAATAACAACGATTCTACAGTTTCTCGCTTTAAGCCGTTCAGCATGTTCTGCCTTTCGGTCGAGGAATGTGAAAAGTTGCACAATTGTGTTTGTGTATCTGTGCCCTTCGTGTCACGCTGGTCAAATGCCTCACTTTAAAGTGTCAGGATACAGAAACCAGATCTCTCTTGCATGAGTTTAAAAGGTGCAAGGCTTGACAGATTAATTAAACCCACTGCAGGCTGTTTAAAGTCCTGACAAAAGAAACGCAAGTCAAGAGCAAGAGTTTGACTGATGTAACATCAACGTGATCTCTAGGATGGGACAGGAGTAGGCGATGGCTCATATCATGGTATGAGGAATTTTATATTGTGAAAAAAGTGAATGCATGAATAATAATAATAATAATAAATGTAAAAAATAATAATATTTAATAAACATGCATATATATTTTTTTTTAAATGATGATAATGTTAACAATATATGCTAGAAAAATATTATATGTAATACATAAAAATAGTAAATTATAAAAATATACTGTAAAACAATTTTTCTATTTCTGAAAAAATATACTGAATATAATTAATTATGAACATCATTACTAATACATTTAATTATTCATTAACTCTGCTTTGTCTAAGAACACCCTTTACCGTAGTAAAACTCTGTAATGCATGGCCTCACTTGGCCTATTGTTGTATTATATAATTGCTCTGTATCATTTTAAGCAACAGCATCTTTTCTTGTTACATTTAGATAATAACTTCATTAAAAAGTAATTTTCCAAACTCATTGAATAAGTTATACGCATTGTCTAACACTTTCATGATTAATAGTCACTGTTGAGAAGTAATTTTGAAGAGTTTGTAAAACTACGAACACAAACATCTAATTGCCTGCTGTCCAACAATTGTGATCATTCAAACCAAAGAAATCTGTTTTTCATACGGTCTATAATAGAGATTACGTGGCCAAAGCAAAGAAACCAGAACAACAAAACCGTTTGTCTCACTATGGACGCCATACAGTCTTCAAACTGTCTGCTGTTCATGACACCTCTTTCTGTTGAAGACAAACGACTGGTTCAGTCATTGTCTGTTACTGTGTGTGTTTTATATGGAAAGCTATCAATCGTTGTACATGTAAAAGACGGGCCCACGGGAGGACTGGTTTCCCAGAGGTGCTGTAATGTGGCCTCCATATGACTGACGTCAGGCTGGATCAGATCACGGTTTGAGGAGCACGGCGGATCTTCTGTGAGATCATTCAACCGATTCAGGTACAAACAGAGCTGCAGGAGTCTGAGGTTGTCACGATGATCAAATTTCGCTAGCGGATATCAATACTTTTACATTAGCAATAGCAGTTGATAAAAGACAAGGAAAATGAGCGCAATCAGAACCAAACACCATAAACAACGCAAAACACTGGCATTTTGAGTTTCTGCTAATGATTTCTATGGAGAGAAAAATCACTTCCTGCCCTCCAGCTGCATTTCGCGCGTCATCAGAATCACGTGATTGCAAACAACCTATTACTCTACAAACATACACCTTTGTTTACGTTTTGGGTGTGTTGCTCGGCAACCACTTTATTGCAACCACAACAGATTCTGAGGAACTACATTGTTTGTTGGAAGAATAATGTTTTTATTAATATCATTACACTTCATTTGCTCTGTTTTATTTTGTGAAACCTTACTACGTATATGAAATAACCGTTTTATAAAAGCAATAAGCCCTGTGAAGCCGTGGTTTCCGAGGCTTCGCGTCGTGCCTAACAACGCCCCTTAGCTGTTATAAATTCACTGTAAACCACGGCTTCTTGGGGCTTATTGCTTTAGCAAAAAATGCACAATTACATGTGCATAAATGTAATATATATGTAAGGGATAATGCATGGCTAGCTGTGCATTAAACGATTTTAACGCACGACGTGGAGGCCAAGAACCACCCGACGCGAAGCTCATTAAAATAATTTAATGCACAGCTAGCCATGCATTATCCTGCTCATACCTTGGTCATTTGCCAGCATTTACAAGTTAAAGCTGTTAATGATGTTTTTACGGAAGGGTAAAAATGACTGTTATTTTCGCCAGTTACGGCTCGATAGCTCTTGAATGAATTATAGCATTTATTTGAATTAATTAATTTGAATTAATTAAATTAACTGACAATTGTGTGTGTGCTATCTTTGTCTGCGTGTCTCTCTACAAACAATGAAGCTGTGTTACTTCAAAAACAGCGATTTTACACCTTGTTGCTGAGGAATATAATGTAGCGATCTAGTATCGAGGCGATTTTATTAATAAAAGTCGCGGGAAGCGTTGACAAGTTTGTGTGTGTGTGTGCGCACAGTGCAATCTGCGATCTCCGACTCTCTCTCTGCCTTTCTCTCGCTCTCTCTTTCTGTGTGTGTGTGTGTTTGTGTGCGAGTGATGTGTGTGTGTGTGTATGTGTGTGTTTGTGTGCGAGTGATGTGTGTGTGTGTATATGTGTGTGTTTGTGTGCATCAATTAAAGCAGCACATTAATATTGAACGGCGATTAAACTGACTTGGAACTACCTGTGCATTAAAGAGTTTTAATGCATACCTGCCAGCCAATCAGAATCGAGAATTCAGTCAGACCATGGTATAAATTGTAAAATAAAAAATTATTATTATATATTAATATATTCTATATTGGATATTAATAAAAACAGATATACCAGCAAATATACCAATAAATGTACCACAAGGAGTTGCAGAAACGTTTGACATCCCTAATATCTTTGGAAGTTATTATAATATCTACCCGATCACGTTGGATAGTTAATGACAGAATGAATGAATGCAGCAAAGTTAGCACAGTAAACAATATGCACCAAAATGATGAAATTTAAGGCACACCATAACTACATTAGCGTCCACACAGATGCATGATAATGTTCTCTTTATTATAAGCATGTGCTGCAGTTTTGTCATCTGCAACTTAAAAATCCTTGAGCGCTTTAAAGCAGGGCAGATTCTGATTGGCTGTCAACGTTTTTAGCATTCATCAGCTGGAAAAAATAGCTATTCCAAAGACAATGTTCCTCTGTGCTGTTAGCATTATAGAGTTAGAATGCTAAAACTGTATCTTTGTTTTTATTGTTAACGTTATAGTCCTTGGTGCAAACAAGCCTTTGTTGTCATAAATAAGCAGGTCTTACCGAAAGCAGTGCTGCGATTGGCCAGGTTGGAGTAGGCGTTTCCAGAGGGCGAGGAGGTGGCGGGGCTGGACAGAGGGCTGTAAGAGGACGGGTCGGCCTGGTAGCTGTGACTGGAGCCCATGCCGAATGGTGAGGCCTGGGCCTTACTGGACTGAGCGGGAATCTGCTGCTGTGGTGGAACGACAGGAGACGTGAGGATATTAATATACAGGCGCTGCTTCACAGGCCGCAGTGCAGTCTCATTGGGCCAATTGCTGTATATGGGTCAAAGACGTTAAGATGTCCGCATCAAAAGAAATTTACAAAAGTGATTATATGTCCATAGAAAGCACATTAAATATAAGCAAAGTGTCTTCTTTTTATTTTTTATCTTTTAGAAAACTATCTAATTCTCCCTTTGACGAAATTGAACTAAAAGAAGTGATGCCAAGCCTATACCAGAGCTGAAACCTCCCATCAGCCCTTGCTGGTTTAAAGTCAGGGTCGAAAGCAACCCATTTTAGTAGTTTAGATTGTCTTACAAGTAATGTTGATTTGCATTCTTTAAACCAGATTCTGAGGGGAACTTTAGTCCACTGATTTAAACTTTTAGAATACTGTCCATATAAGATTTTGCTACCAAGTACTGATTGCAGTGGTATAGCAAGCTGAGAGATCTCCAAATCCTTCCACTTTGCTATATATTCTGGATTACAATAGCATGCTAAAGATCTTAGCTGGGCAGCTCCAGAATACATGAAAATGATCTGCCAACTGTTCCTCACATTTCCTCCAACACAGACCACTTCCATTCTCGCCAATCTGAATAGATTTTAACTTGGGGGTTTACAATAGCATGCTAAAGATCTTAGCTGGGCAGCTTTGAAATAGTCTGAAAAACATGGTAGTGATCTACTCCCTTTCTCTGCAGTGTTTTAAATTGAATTCTAGGTCTCTTACCCCCCCATATGAATCTTGAAGTCCACTTATCCCATTCAGTAAATAGTTTTAATGGAACTTCAACTGGTAAGGATTGGAAAAGGTATAGAAGTCGGGGAAGCATGTTCATTTTTACTGCATCTATCCTGTTATGCATCTCTAAGGGCAGTTGGGACCACCTATCTATATCTGATTTAATGTTCTTACTTGTAGGACCATAATTACTTACAAATAATTTAGAAATATCCTTTGTTATTATAATCCCCAAGTACTTAATTCTTGATGAGTTCCAATTCAATTTAAACCTACTCAGCATGTCATTCTGCGGGGTGTAGTTATAGCTTAAGATGTATGTTTTTTTAACATTTAATTTATATCCTGAGTAAGTTCCGAATTTTTTTAACATGGACATCAACCTAGGAATACTAACCTCTGGTGCTGCAACAAACAAGAGTACGTCGTCTGCGTACAGACAAATCTTTTGTTCTAAACCTCTAACCCTAATTCCTTTTATCTCCTGTTCGTCTGACAGTGCAATGGGCTCAATGAATAAAGCAAAAAGGGCAGGGCTGAGAGGGCAGCCTTGGCGGCAGCCTCTTTCCAGATTAATACTCTGAGTGAGATGCCCATTAATCCTTATTCTAGCCTTTGGTGATGAATACAAAGTTTTAATGCATCTAATGAACTCATCTTTAAAACCAAATCTTCTCAATGCCAAATACAGGTACTCCCAGCGAACAGAGTCAAATGCCTTTTCAGCATCTAAACTAATTACTACTGCTCTGATGTTTTCTTTAGTGACATGATCAATTACATACAGCACCCGTCTAATATTATCCTGCGTCTGTCTGTCACGTACAAATCCTGTCTGGTCTGAATCTACTAATTCTGGTATTATATCTTCCAGTCTTTTAGCTAATATTGATGCATATCATTTATAATCCATAGTTAGTACAGAAATTGGCCTAAATGCACTACACTCCTTTTTGTCTTTACCCTCTTTAGGAATAACCGAAATTATTGCCTCGCTCCACGTTCTTGGTGGTTCACCACCTTTAAGTGTATAGTTAAAACAATCAAACAGTATAGGGACTAATTGATCTTTAAAAGCCTTATACCACTCGGTTGGAAAGCCATCTGTTCCCGGTGCTTTATTAACTTTTAATCTAGAAATTGCTTTCCCTATTTCTTCCTTTGTGATCTCTGCCATTAGGGCTTTATTTTGTACTTCGCCTATGGAAGGTAAGTCAAGTGATTCTAAAAATGAATTTATTAAAGTGTCTACTTCTAAGGTTTTAAATAAGTTTTTGGAGAATAAAATGTTCAAATTTGGTTGATATAATGTTACATTGTCATTCAAAAAAATTTAAAATTACAACTAATTAGTATTTGGGGTGAAAGTAATTAGTCTTTTAATATGTCATAAATTTGATTTTTGTTGTAAATATGCCTGACAAGATTGTTACACTGAATGACATTTTAGTGGGTCTCTTCTGTAAATCAGGGAAAAATGTATGATATTTATTTTTTGCTCAGAAAAACAAAAACAAAATTGCAATTAAATTAAATGGAAAACTTTAAAAAAATTTTTGGAAAAACAACAACAATTAAAGCAGTATTAATAAAATTATAATTTTTCGTCTTTGACCCATATACAAGTTAAGGCAAAAGGTCTTTTTAAGTAATTAATACTTTTATTTAGCAAGGACTCATTGATCAAAACAATCGTAATATTACAAAAGATTTCTATTTAAAATAAATGCTGGTTCTGAAAAATCCTGAAAAAAATGTATGACAGCTTTCACTAAAATATTAAGCAGCAACTGTTTTCAACAATGATAATACTAAGAAATGTTTCGTGAGCAGCAGATCAGCATATTAGAATGATTTCTGAAGGATCATGTGACACTGAAGACTAGAGTAAAGATGCTGATAATTCAGCTGCGCATCACAGCAATAAATTACATTTTACAATATATTCAGATAGAAAACAGTTTTTTGAAATTGTAGTAACATTTCACAATATTTCTGTTTTTACTGTATTTTTAAATAAGACAAACAAGATCATAAAAGAAATGTTTCAAAAACATTTTCAAAAATTAGAATCTCACAATACAGTTATTTTAGCTGCAAATTAAGTGCAGAAATGTTGTATTTTTGTTATATAAACCTCATGTTTGGATAATCCAGTAAAATATACTTCATCCCACTTCATTATTTTACAGTTCTGCAAAATCTCTAGTGCTCTCTCTACTCCAGTTTTCCCTGGAAACTCTGTTAGGACCGAGTGTCTGTATCTGCTTAACAACAAATAGGACTTTAAGATCTTACAATCGGGCTAAAAGTCTTAACGGAGCTGAGCAAAAGGAAGAGCAGTGCAATCACACAATTACAGCTGCAGACAACAGGCTTCACTTTTAATCAATGGAGAACCGCAGAGATACTTGTGGACCAGCATTTCTCTGGTCTTCTGCATAACTAACGGCTTTACACATGTTATTATTTAGGATATTATAAATGTGACATGACTGGAGGAATTTTTTTTAATGATATACATGCATTTTATTGCTTACTAAAGAAATACATAAACCACACACACACACACACACACACACACACACACACAAACACACACACACACTCAGTTCAGAACTGATTAAAAACACACACGCTATCATGAATGCCACACGCAAGGTTCTTGATGACCCTGGTAACCCTTTCAAATGTAAGCATTAAGCACAGCCTGATGGCCTAAAAGATAATATAAAAGCGAATGATTCCCTCTCTTATACTGGTTCATATTACTTTAATTGGACATTATGTTGCACTCACAATTTGTACAGTTTCCATTCATACAGCTATCCAGTTTTCAAACTTTTTGTATATGCAATAAAATAATAAATTATTTTTAGTCATTTTAGGTTTTGTATTATTATTATTTAATAATAAATAAATAAATAAATATTATTTATTATTTAGTATATATGGGTTGTTGATATATAGATACCGTACATGTGTCCTATGGTGTAACAGCAAAATGTAGAAAACAATTAATCATTATTAATAATTAATTTCTTGTTAATACTTGTTAATAATATACAAATAGCATAAGAGAGATTTTTCTTCATTGTTAGTTTTTTTCCCTAAATTTTTGCTGTCACACCATAGGACACATTTACAGTATATTTGTCAACTACACATATATATATATATATATAGTTTCCTGCCACATACAAAAACGTTGCAAAATATATTAATATTTATATTTTTATACTAATATTGTACACATGTATAAATGTAATGTTTTTACAATTATGTAATATGTAATAATTTTACAACTATTTTTATAGAAATTATCATTGATTGTTTTTTTTTATTATTAAATATATTATATATATATAAATATTATATTTTGCCCCCTAAACATACCAAAATGTGTTGTAAAATGTATATATCTATGTATGTATGTGTATGTATATATAACATCTATCTATATCTAACACTAGCGTTCCCTGTTCTTTTTCTATTCTATCTACTTGTTTATTGTTATTATATATATGTATATATATGTATGTACAGATATTTTTTATGCAAGTGTGAACTAATTACTGAGCCCTGAATGATCTTTTTCAGCCATTGCTCCACATCCTGGATTCAGTTCTCTCATCACAAAACTAAAGAGGAATATTCCATTACTGTAATAAAGCTAATGGAGACCAGAGCGGCAGTGGGCAGCGGAGTCACACAAAGCCAATGATGGGATCGTTCTCACCTGGCCGGGGAAAGGAGGTCGGCTTCCTGTCCAGGACACCTGGCCGGTGTTGATCTGCCGGGAGATCTGGGTCAGGTTCTGTCCAGCTGAACCGGCTGTGGACTGGATGTCATTGACTCCTGGGACGTGTATCACAGATGAGCTGAAAGACACACACGCACCACATCATGTGACTGAATTAAACCAACCCATCCTCTTAATTCTCTGTGAACCATCTGAAGGCCTTTTCACACAAACTACAATGCTTGATTACAGACCCCTTTACACCAATGCTATTTTAGCATCTTTGATATGCTACTATATTTTTAATTAAGATTTTGAATTTGATATTATTTTTTATATTTCCTGTCTTCATTTTAATGTTAGGAGAAGTTTTAGTAGTTTTGTCATTTTTATAATTTTTTATTATTATTATTCATTAATAAAATAATTATGTTTATATATTTAATAATAATAATAATA